AGAGCGCTCGCACTCTCTCGAACGCTCCACATCCGTTGCTTGGGTCCCCGCTCCTCACACAGATCATCGCCGCGCATTCGACTGCCCGCCCGATTGCACACGCCGCACACATCGCAGAGAGCCTGCATTGTGCCAGCACGCAGAACTGCTCCCTCCCACGAGCCCATTTTCTCGTCTTCTCTCCTTCCCCCTCCACCTCCCACATTTTTCTTCCCGGCCGCTGACTTGCCCTTCCCGACATGGACTCCGCCACCCGTGAGAAGCATGTCTACCTCGCCAAAATTGCAGAGCAGGCCGAGCGATTCGATGGTACGTCCCCCCGCCTGTCCCTCCGCCTGCCAAACTTTTCATCCATCTCTCGCCGCCGCCACCCCGCCACCCGATCGCATTGTGCCAACTGACACATTTGCGCCGCCTCGCTTTTTATCAACCCCTCGCTCCTCATGCGCGTAGAAATGGTCAAGGAGATGAGCACCGTGGCTCGCGAAGCGGGTGACGGAGCGTCCGAGCTGTCCGTGGAGGAGCGCAACCTTCTCTCGGTAGCGTACAAGAACGTCATCGGTGCGCGCCGCGCGTCGTGGCGCATCGTCTCCTCCATCGAGCAGAAGGAGGAGCACAGCGACAACGGGACGAACGCCGCCAATATCCACGAGTACCGTCTCTCCATCGAGGCGGAGCTCAAGCAGATATGCAAGGACATCCTCGCCTTGCTGGACGAGCACCTCATTCCATCGGCGGCCTCGGGCGAGTCCAAGGTTTTCTACTACAAGATGAAGGGCGATTACCACCGCTACATGGCCGAGTTCACCGTCGATCCAGAACGCAGGGATGCCGCGCAGCTCTCGCTGGAGGCGTACAAGCAGGCCACCGATACCGCGCTTTCCGATCTCGTCCCAACACATCCCATTCGCCTCGGTCTCGCTCTTAACTTTTCCGTCTTCTACTACGAAATTCTCAACAGCCCCGCGGACGCGTGTACCCTGGCAAAGCAGGCATTCGACGACGCCATTGCGGAGCTCGATGCGCTCAGCGAAGACTCGTACAAGGATTCCACTCTCATAATGCAACTGTTGCGCGACAATCTCACTCTCTGGACAAGGTAAGTTTCTCTTTTCCTACCTCCTTCTTTTGCCGATGCGCAAAGTCCATACCGCTGCGCATGGCGCTTGACATCCATCGCATTCTAACTCTTTCTGGCTACGAATATCCTATACGAATATCCTAATCTCCCGTTTATTCGTGTAGTGACGTCCCTGACGATGAGGAGGAGGCATTAGAAATGGGCGGCGCAGAGAACGAAATGCCAAGCGGTGAAAACCACGCAGCTGCTTAGGTAACGCATGCCCTTCCGCTACCATAAATCGTGTCAAGGAGCAATTGCTTGCGTTTCTTCCCGATGCTCCAGTGCGTTAACTTTCTTCGACCGTGCCTAGACCAAGGCAAATTATCTTTTCGATTAATATGGTAAACCCAGGGCTTTATACATCGATACAGGACGAGTTGCGCGTGTAGATCGGGTCCGTTCTAGAGATATATGCACGTGTAGACCATCTCTGCGTGCGACACGCGCTGCCATACCCCTGCAGCAGCGCATGGTCGCCCACTTGTATTGCAAAAAACCCTTCCACGACATGAATGGCGCTGATGAGGTGAGGGGTCAGTTAAAGCTTTACAAGATCTTTTTCTGTTTAAAGAAGCGCTTAGTATAGACCGCCTGATAGCCGCCCACAGCAAACAGGCTACACAGCGAGAACACAGCGAGCACGACTACGCGCTTGTTGGTGTTCTCGTTAAGTTCCCGCAATGTATTCTCCATGCTCCTCGCACGGTCCAGCTCGTCCATGAGCGCATGCAACTCGCCCGACACCTGCCTCAATGACACTTCGAGCTGCGAGAGATGCTCCTTCTTGGCTAGTCTGGTGTAATCGTGCGCCGTGTCGCCCTTGTGAATGACCAGACGGACGCGACGTTGGTGCCCGGTGTTACCGCCCTTGCTTTCAACGCATATTTCAAATTTCTTCACGTCAAACAACCGGGCCTCCCTGTCCTCTACCGAAATGTCGTCCACCTTGCCGTACAATGCGTCCTCCTCATGCTCGACGTGCGCGACGTCGTTTTCGAGGTCGTCGTCGTCAATACCGTCATAATCGGCCTCATCAAAGTCGTCCAAATCATCCTCGTAGTCATACTCGTCGTCATGGTCGTCATGGTCATGGTCATGGTTATGGTCATGGTCATGGTGGTCATGGTCATGGTGGTCATGGTCATGGCCATGTTCATGGTCATGGTCATCGGGATGGTCATGAATGGAGAGGAGTTTGCGGCCGCGTCGGGCATGTTGGAATGCTGCGTCGGCGGCTGCGCGTGCCTTGAGGCCTTCTGCATGTCTCCTAGCGCGGTCATGCACGGTCTTGTGCAGGCTATCGGCGACCTTTCTGTGCATCTCAGCCTTTTTCACGTGCGGGTCCTCGCCCTCCTTGGCGGGGACGACGAAGGCGAACTTGCCGTGGTCGGCGTTGCGGCGCTCGTAGAGAGAATGCGGGTGGCCCGGCATGCGGACGATGATGTCGACGGGCATGGTACCCTTGCCCGTCGAGACGGTGTACTCGCCGAGCACTTTGGACGCGGGCGACGCCTCTTCCGTGAAGCAGCGGCGCTCGCCGGATTGCAGGTAGAACTGGAAGGAGAGGGCGGGGAGAAGGCAGAGGGCGAGGGAGAGGAGAAAGGGAAGAGGGGAGCGGGAGCGGGCGGTGCGGCGCATCGTGCAGAGGAGGGGGAGGACGCGACCAGGCGCGTCGGACGGGCGTTCAGCTCAGCGGTGAAGGAAGATTGGGGAGGGGGTGGAGAGGGGGTGGTCTTGTGGAGAGGGGGGTAGAGAGGGGGTGGAGAGAGGGCAGGACGGTGAGCAGGGAAAAGGAATGTGTGAGGGGTGGTGTACAGTAACGAGTGAAGGTGGGGGTGGAATACTGCGGGAATACAGTACTATGGGAATAAAGGTGATTTCTTAGAAATTTTCGAGAAGAGTGTTGACTGAACGGCGCCAATTACAGCCATCTGGCGGACAATCGCAAGTGGGGCGTCGATGGTGATTGGACGATGCGCGCTGAGATGAAAGGATCAACAGATGAGATACACCAGCACTCGTGCAGTGCCGTCTTTTGTCTACCGAAAACGGATGCGCCTGCTCGCAAGGCCAAGGTGGAGCCACCGGGAGCCCCACCGGGAGCCCCACCGGGAGCCCCACCGGGAGCCCCACCGCGCGCAAGCTATCCGATGCACCAGCGCTAGCAACTGTAGGAATATGGGGCCTCTTTGTACAAACCGTATTCACACCGGCGCTAGCCTCGCCACCTACAAAACCTTCTCCCGGTGCAGAGTTTTGAACGTGGCGACCGACGTAATCACGGCCCCGGTTGCGATCGCGCCGCACGCCAACGCGCTGTACCATGCCACAACGCGGCTCGTCCTGGAGCTCAGGTGAGCCATCCTGAGTTCGCGCTGCCTCATTTCATCGATGAGCCGCACAATGTCCGATACCTTATCCTCGACGATGCGGAACAGCTCCTCGGTCGAGCTGAGGTGCTTCTCTTTAGCGAGCTTATCGTAGTACTCCATCGTCCTGACGTCGTTCCCGGACTTGACCTCAAAGATCACCCTTCTCTTCAACGCCTGCGCGCGGAGCGAGATGCCCGCCGCGACGTGCTCGAAGCAGAAGCGGTACGACGTGCGGTCGTCGCCGACCGCGTCCGGCCCGGCCTTGTTCCAGTACGCGTCGTCGTCCTCGCCGTACTCGTCGTCCTTGAGCTCCCAGCTGTCGCGCTCGGCGACGCCGGGGAGCGAGTTTGGCGCGCGGAAGGAGAACACCCCGTGGTCGATCGCGTCCTTGTGGAGCACGATGCGCCCCGTCGAGTCCGTGATGCGCAGCGAGATGGGCATGTCCCCGTTCCCTTGCGCCACCGTGTACGTGATCGTCGCGTCCGACCGCAGCGGGATGTCCTCGCGGAAGCACTTGCGCGTCTTCGACTCCAGCACAAACTGCAACGACTGCACCGTCGACGCGAGGAAGAGTGCGAGTGCGACAAGGAGCCGCGGGAGGACCGGTGCCATGGTGGAGATGTGGCCGCACGGAAGGGGAAGCTTCCCGTGCGTTGGAGAGGAGCCGCGGCGTGAAGCACGAGGTCGTCTAGAGGAGTTTACCGAAGTCTCAACGGTGGAGTGAACTTGACTGCGAAGAGGGCGGGTACGAGTGCGGGGCGCCACATGCATGTAAACTGTGCTGTACGCATGCTTGAACAGCAAGGCGCGCGAATGGCGGTGATGTAAGCATTTCGCAAAAACGTGCAAAATATTTGCAAAGCAAATGAAAATTGTAGGGCCACGGGATATTTTCACGACTGGTCTCCGCGCTCCGTTCTGTGGCTCAAACTTGCCTCTGCTCCGAACTAGCATTCCTCCACAGCTCGCATAAACCCGCACCCTCGTCTCTCCCACCTCACCCCAACCACCATCGCCCTACTGTCATCACTAAACTCCAACGGGGCACACACCCTCCCCTTTCCTCATCACCCCTTCGACGTCATCGGCACGCCTTCTCCCTCGACCGCCTGCATCACCCCGTCCTTCAAAAGCCATGGCCACACCCGTCGCGCGTCTCTCCGTCAGCATGAGCTCCGCCTATGTGCTCCCGCTCACCCCGGTCCCGCACGGCTGCGCAATGTCGAGCGCCGTATCTTCCTTCAGCGGCCGGCCAGTGCGTAGATTTGCGCGCTATGGCCCCGCCGTCCGACGGACCCGCCCGGCTCACACCCCCATGCAGATGAACCTGTTTGACCGCTTCTTCCGCGTCATCCGCGCAAACGTCAACCAGGCCGTCTCGGGGATGGAGGACCCGGAGAAGATTCTCAACCAGACCGTTACCGATATGCAGGGAGACCTCATCAAGGTCCGACAGGCGTACGCAGAGGTTTCGGCTACCCTCAAAAGAATTGAACGCCAGCGCGAGCAGGCCGCCGTCACCAGCTTGGAGTGGAAGAAACGAGCGCAATTGGCCTTGCAGAAGGGAGAGGAGGATCTCGCTAGGGAGGCCCTGACGAGGAAAAAGATGGCAGACGAGCAGGAGGCCAGCTTGGGTGGTCAGATTCAGGGCATGAAACAAAACGTTGAAAAATTGTTTGGGTCCATGCAGCAACTTGAGAGTAAGATTACGGAGGCTAGGTCAAAGAAGGATCAGTACGTGGCTAGGGCTCGGACTGCGAAGACAAGTGCCAAGGTCAACGATATGCTTAGCAACGTAACTACAAGCGGTGGGCTTGATGCGTTTGAACGGATGAAGACAAAAGTTGAGGAGCTTGAGGTGAAGGCAGATGTAACGCGAGAGCTCTCGATGGGAGGCCCTGCGGATGTCAGCTTGGAGAGCAAATTTAAGGCGCTCGAGTCTGACTCAGTAGATGATGAGCTACAAAAGATGAAAAATCAGATTGGCGGCAGTAGCACTCCTTTCAAGTTGCCGGGAAAGGTGGACCCAGATGTCGAAGGGGAACTGGAAAGAATGAAGAGGGGTATGTAGGATTTGGTTTTTGCTTCATAAACACTTATTTTGCTGCTCGGTGTTACCAACGGGTGCTACTTTGGCTGTACTGTTCACATTTGCAACATGGGCGAGTTAGGGCGATGCCAAGACGATAGCGGCCTCGTCAGTACTAGGAAGTTCTATTAGTTACGTCAGAAGTGGAGACTGGCAATATAGATGGAGGAATCTCGAAGACGGCGACTTTCTCGCATGCCTCCTTCGCCTTCTGCACGTTTATGGAGCCTCCTTCTGGAAGTACCCGCAATTCTCCCTGTAACCGCGCTCTTTCGGTCTCGATGTCTCGAACATCCTGCATAGGTACCTCTGTATCCCCGAGAGCTTGACTGCCATGTGCCGCTCGCAAATCTCCGGTCCCTTTCTTGAAGAAGGCCTCGAGCAGTGAACACGCACCCATGCTATCCAGCAGGTATCGTTAGAATATCAATGAAACAGTTAGATGCGATTCGCGGTGGTAATCAGCCCATTGCCTTCCAGCACAGACCGCAAGACATTCCGCTTATACGTACAAAAACCCAGCTTCTGCAGAGGCTTTCGCACCACCTGCAAATCCTTGATCAAAGCCTTGCTGCAAATGCTGGTCATGAGCTGCGGTAGCACCCTCTCTGATTCCAGAGGTCATATGTTGGCGTCTTAAAACCTCCACCTCACGGTGTCGACTTTCAAGTTCAAGTGCGTCGGAACTTTGGTCGCCGAAAAAATCGTCATCATGCTCCACAGTGGGCATCCCGTTTGGAGTTTCTTCGTTGCCTGTGCTCATCTGACGTTTGCGGAATCTTCGAGCTCTCCGAATCTTCCACCTCCACCCGCTTCACTCGCCAAGACAAATTAGAGGTGCTCCTTTCAGACCACAGCTTCGGACATACTGTACGAGGGTTCGTGGAGTGTGTAATTTATGGATTGCAACATTGAACCTTGATCCGGATCTCTAGATGGAGACGTCAACAGAAAATGCCGGCCTTCTTCAGAGCACATTCAGATTCATAAACCAGGCACCCAGCGGAAATTACACAAAATTTTGGCAAAACGTCGGCATCTTTCACACCTCCCAATTCGGTACCATTTAGACAAGTCCGAGTCTCAGGTGTCTGTGTATGTACGAAGTCCTGCCGAGCACTTGATACCGTACACATCCCTGCGGCCGGTATGATGTAACCCTTCTGTCTCCAGGAGTTTCATGAGTAAGCGAGGAGAAATGGAAGAGTACAAGAAGAAAACCAATACCGGGGATGATGTATTCATCCGGCTGCAGAAGCCCAAGGAGCCAGCACCAGGCACAATCCCAGATGACGGTCAGGATCACTCCTTACCCCGACCAACAGCCGTTTTGCTGGGGTGGTTTGCTGCAAAACACAAGAATCTGTCCAAATATGGTGCGATTTATGAGGATATGGGGTACAACGTTGTTCAAGTCATAGCCCCTGCATCTGTTGTCTTTCCACTCAAACCGCAATACACAGCAGCGTTTACTCTCTCTCTGCTGCGAATTATCGCCGCTGATAGCCATCTCACAAATGGCGGTATCGTTTTCATGATGTTTTCCAATGGCGGCGCTATCAATGCACCGCATTTGTCAAGAATGTTTACTGGCGAATACCAAGAGATCATCAAAGCGGACGATGAGCCAGCCGTGAAAACTGTGAGAGAAGCAGTCGCCGGTATAATTTTTGATTCTGCGCCCTGCTACATGCGGTCTCATCTCGGTGCTAGAGCCATCAATGAAGGTTTGAAATTGCCAGAAGGTATTTTTTCTAAACTAATTCTGTTTGCCTTCACGCTATGGTCTTTGTTGCAAAGATTATTTATAATCAACCTTCCGCTTTATTTTTGGACAGGCTTGAGAAGAGCAGAATATCTATGCCCAGAGCTGTATATTTACTCTACTGCAGACCACTTATCTGATATTCCGTCCCTGGAAGCACTTGTTGAAGAGAGAAAACAGCAAGGGAAGGAAGTTCGGGTTTTCCGTGTCGAAGATGCTGGTCACGTCATGATACTCAGAAACCATCACCAAAAATACGTTGACACAATCCGTGCGGTGAACGACTGGGGTGTAAACCCATATCGGTCCAAGGCTGGTCTGAGACCCTGGCTACTACAGGAGAACGATAAATCATAAAGCGTCTTTTCATATTGGGATAGATCTTTCTATTTCCCATGAAGATATATCCGCAATTTAAGAATGCAGTACGCTTCGCATAGACCCTTCGCCATTTTTGCCGTAATCGTATGGAAGCGACACCGCCTCTGCTAGTTGGTGGGGCGTTTGGACGCGGCAAAGTGTTCTGTTTCCAGCCTGCGTTCGGAGTCGCGAGATATCCCATACCGATATTCATATTGTGTACCCGAGCGCGCTAGCTTTGTCGTGCTGTCACTGGCCTTCTGGAAGTGCAAATTACTCTGACGAAACTCGGATAACGAATTCCACTTCTGGAGCAATTGGGCATCACGAGTTGTAGGGTGAGTATCTTCGTGTGATGACTCTTTCTCAGTCGCCTAGATACGATAGTGTCACGTGCACATAGAGGCTGTAGGTGTTTTCATAATTGGCATTGCATTTTGCTTCGTAGACATGTCTAACTACTACAACTGTTTACACAAACACCCTTCCGCGACGCCCACGCGGGAGGCCGCGCAATGTATCCTGACATACCTTCCTGTTCCGTATAAGGTTTCTTCAGGAGCTCGTAAAGCTGGCGAACTTCGTCGTAGTCGCCTTTTTCAGCCTTCTCGATAGCAGCTTGAGCCATGTAGTTACGCAATATGTACACTGGGTTCACCCCGTTCATAGTTCTTACTCGTTCCCCTTCTGAAGTAACGCTCCCGTCGGCATCCAGTCTGGCTTTGTATTTCGTTAACCAATCCATCCACAGCTCACCAGTAGATTCATCGGTGTTCAGTGACAGCGAAGAACACCATTCCCTGCACTCTTCCGTAGAAGATTGCACGGAAATTTTGGACAAATTTCGCCAGGTGTTGGTAAAGTCGGCCTTCGAGTCAGCCATGCGATCGTGAAATTCTTCTAGCAATGCAACATCGCCTGGACCGTCAATCTTAGATAAACCCAGTTTCTTCGCCATGATGCCATGGTATTCAGCTTCGTAAATACCCTCAAACTCCTTCATCACTTTCTCCATCTGTTCAACACCGCACAGCGGAATCATAGCCTTCGCAAACTGCATAATGTTCCATTGCGCCACTGAAGGCTGCGCTTCAAACTTGTATCGCCTTCCCGGGATATCGGTGGTATTTGGAGTATACGTCGGATCGTATTGATCCAAGTATCCGTACGGCCCATAGTCAATGGTCAAACCTAAAATAGAGAAGTTGTCGGTGTTCATGACGCCATGCACAAACCCAACAGCCTGCCACATAGCAACCATCTTCGCGTTCCTCTTTGCGACCTCGCCCACAAACATGGAATACTTGTTCGGCTTTTCCTTACTGATGCGCTCCGTCAAATCATTGAACTCTGGGTAGTGGTATTCAATTGCATAGTCCGCGGTCTCCTTCAAAAGTTCTGTATCTTGCCGATACGTCGCAAGCTGAAAGTTACCAAGCCTCAAGAACGAGGGAGCGACGCGAGCCACAACCGCGCCTGGTTCCATTTGCGGACTTCCCTGATAAAACATATCCCTGATGACGCCGGCGCCCGTGCCTACTAATGAGAGCGCTCGCGTAGTTGGAACACCTAGAAAGTGCATCGCCTCCGAGCACAGAAATTCCCTCACTGACGATCGCAGCACCGCTCGGCCGTCTGCAGAGCGCGAATAAGGCGTCTTCCCAGCTCCCTTGAGCTGGATCTCCCACCGCTCCCCACTAGCATTCTCGTATTCACCCATGGAGATTGCCCGTCCATCGCCGAGTTGACCCGCCCAATAACCGAATTGATGTCCCCCGTAACACATGGCATAGGAACGCATCCCCGGCCACTGCTTTCCGAAACCGCCCAGCACTTCAACGACATCTGAACACTCCTCCGCTTCAGGATACCCGTCCTCCAAGCCGAAGAGCTTCGCGCAAGCAGGGCTCCAGGCGATGAGCGCCTTTTCAAGCTCTGGCTCCCCCCTTTCGCCAGAGCGCACCTGCCCCGCCTCTAGGGCTTGCCTCCAGATATCCTGCATGCCATCCTTTGCCGGGTCTGTCGGGTCAACGTAGGAGAAGGCCGCGTTGAAGACTTGACGTATCTCGTTGGAGGCTTCCGGGTCGCGCGGGAGACGTTCGGTGAATGTAGAAACAAAATTTAATGACGCGATGCCGATTGAAGACGCGGTCGAAGCTGGCGTCGCGGGTGTGGTGGAGGTCATCCGGGGGCGTGTGGCAGAAGGAAGCGAGGTGCGGGGGCGGATAAAAGGGAGGGGCGCGTGCAGGAAGAGGGCGGTCTTGGCACCCGTTCGACACCCACGAGCTAGGTGCATCGTCTAGGTCGCCAGGCGATCGAATCCCCACAAGCAGGAGAAGGCGGGCGATGAGTGTTTGTTCTCGGGACCACGGGCTGCGGGTGTGGCACCGAACGTAACGTTGAATGGCGAAACGACTTTTTACGCCCAGACAATCTATGCCCCCAGGATAAAGAAGGGCCAAGATGTGAGCTCGCCACGTGTGCCACAAGAAGATTATCTAGAGAATTATTTCTCCCGGAGGCGGAACCATAAAATGGATGGCCCCAATTGCTTCTTTTGCTAATAGTGGCCACCTCTAGAGCACTGCAAAACAAGAAACAACCGGATTTCCACAAGGTTTTGGGTGGAGGGTGACGTCTCTAGCTGGTAGTCAACACCATATCTGAAGGTCATCTGGTGTCGTATTCAAGAGCAATTGCTTCGATCAGTAAGACTTATTTTGGATGTTGACAGTATTTAAACGCTGAGGGGTATGACAGAGCTTCGGGTCATGCAAATGGTTGAGCCGTGGTAACCTCTCCAGGTTCGGCATGTGGTACGGTCTAGATGCCGTTGGACACATGCGGGACAACTTTACATTGGAACGAGTACAAGGACATGCTATGCCATGGGATGCAAGTCAACGAGACGGAAAGCATGCGAAAGCTATGAAGCCAGTGTTTCTTTGCTTGTGTGTTTGAAGTCGCACAATGACCCAGCGAAGATAGTTGGTGCGGCCTATGATTACATATTCCGCAGACTTGTCTATGTGTAAAACAACGTCTAGTCTCGGAAGTACTTACTTGCAACCGTCCCAGACGAGAGGACTGTTACTAGTTACATTGCAACAAACAGGACGCTCCACACATAAAATGGTCTACCTCTCGTAAAACGACACCTTATCGAGGGGGTTCCAGTGCAGTAATTGGACTTCGCATAAAAGGCTGGTGAAGAGGAGCTCGTGCACGGTCTGCCCTACTCGTCAGAGTTTTTGAAGAACAACAAGGATGTTATGGGGCCATCATGCATTGCTGGCATATCACAAACCTTTGCATGCACCGTGGCCTCTGGATATGAATCCCGCTCAAGCACATCCCTACACTTTGCTGGAGCACACCCTTTCTAGGAGCTTGCTCGTCCCAATTGCAGTAGGGTCCAGCTGCCATCCCTTGCAAGTGATTTTGGCGCAACCCTGCAGCGCAGAGGCTGTAAAATGGCTCAGTACGTATTCCCGCCGTTCCACTCCTTCCCGCCTTCGTACACCCGCCAACCCGTGGAGGCGACGCGCGCGAAGCAGACGCAGCTGTGGTGCGACCTGATCCGCGACTACTGCCGCGTGCACCACATCTTCTGGTTGGACGTGAGCGTCGCCCGCGAGTCTAATTTGTTTTCCAATCCAGCTATTGATCGTCGTCTTTCAGATGACGACGTGCGCTACTTCTTGGGGCAGCTCGTCGCTAGGGGGGACGCAGAATGGGACCCCGATCGCAAACGTTGTCTTGTGTTTTGGAGACAGCCCAGCGATTGGGGGCAGCTTATTTATCAGTGGGTTGACGCAACCGGGAAGAATGGAGAGCTACTTACAGTTCACGAGATTCGGAAGGGAAGCGCTACTGTTGGGAGAGGTAAGGCTATTGAGCTACTGGAATATGTGATGCGCTGCAATACATCAGTGGTCTTCCAGAAACGCAAATCTAACAACGATACTGCTTTCACTTTTGTTTCCGGTGAATAGAGTTTCATGGTCTAGAACTTGATACAACGATTCGCGCGTTGCAAGCTCTTGAGGCCCTCGGGAAGTGTGCCATTGTCCAGGGTGATTCGGCCGACTCTTTGGTACGTTTAACTTTAATGGTGAAGAGTTACATGATACCTTTACATATTTTAGTCAATGTCAATACGTGCAATTCCTAACTGAACGATACATCTTGCTATTAATTTCTTTGTTGCACAGGGAGTTAAATTCGCAATGTAAGTACATTGCCACACAGAAATTCATTTCAGTTATTTCCTGCTGGCGTTTTCTTTGTCGACTTGCTCGGTTTCCTCCAATTCGTAATCATTATCAGAGTAGTCCATGACTTCTCTTGGAACGTCTGCCATGGGATGTTTCGGTGCATCCGTGATCCTGATGGGGGTGTTTTCCCTCAACTCCTCTTCCTCTTCAAAAGCCTTTGCTTCCCCTTCATCAGCCATTTTGTAGAAATGGGCTGCAACCTTTTTGTTGGTGGGCACGCCTTGCCCATGATAATACATCGATCCAATGTTTCTTAGCGCAGGAATGCTCCCGGCTACTACGGCCTCTTGATACATCAGGAATGCTTTGTGATAATCTTGACGAGTTCCCAGCCCATGGAAGTGCATGACGGCTGCAGAACACAATGCTTCCTTCTCTCCAAGTTTGCCCGCTGTTGTGAAGTGATTCAAGGCCTTTTGATAGTCGGAGCCGACGCCGTCTGTGCCCTTATAGTACATATCACCCAAGCACGCATGCGCAGGTCCGTGTCCCAAGCTAGCGGCTTCAGAAACATATCTTCTGAAAGCACCCTCGCTGGGTTCGAGCCCACCCTCGCCGTTGCGGTGCATCAACGCGAGGTAGTAGACAGCGCCCGGATGCTTCTTCTCTGCGGCTAGCTCTATATACTGCCGAGAACTGGCGGCGTCACTTTTGCCGTGCGCACTGCCGACGCGATACAAATGGCCGAGGTAAAATTGGGCGCTCGGATCGCCGAGCTGGGCTGCCATGGAGAAGTTGAGACCAGCTTTCTGCTGGTCTGCTTCAACTCCATCCACCCCATGTGTATAAATCTGGCCGAGGTTGTAATACGCATCGGTGTCACGCCCGTGCTTGGCGGCCCTTTCGTACAGTTGAATGGCGCGCTTGGGGTCTTCCTTTAAAACCTCGTTTGCGACGGCGACCATCGCCTGGAAATTCTCCTGTTCCGCTGCCATTTCGAGCCAATGCAGTGCCTCAGCTCTTTTCCGTTGCGCTTGATCCTCCGCTTCCTTCGCTTTGTGCTCCTCGAACGCCCGAGCCTGGGTATCCGAAAAGCCCGCCTTCCGCCTCGCCTTTCTCACTTCTCTCACCATTTTCGCTGGCGAGGGTTGTTCGTTGAGCTCCGTGCCATCCTCAAGGGAGAGTGCCACGCGTGCGTGTACGCCGCCCTCTTCATCCTGCTCGAGGACCAACTGCTCGCCGCTTACGGACTTCTTCTCCTCGGCTGCTTGCAAGTGGTCAAGAAGCAGGCGGCCCAGTGTTGCTTGCGCTAGGGAATCGCCGGCCTGGGCCGCGCCGCGCAGCAGAGTTTCAGCCCGCTCGCTGTCGAGCGCGACTCCGAGCCCGTCGCGATGGAGCACGCCCAGCAGTGCCTGCCCGCGCAAACTGCCACCGGCCACTGCACTGTTGACTAGGGACACAATTTTGGACAGCGTGGAGGAGTCTGCGGGCGCTGATGTCGCGTAGAGCTCGCGGATGAGGACTTCGGCTTCGGCAGCGGGACTTGACGGGTCGGCGGTACTCTGTGTGCTCCACTGGCGCATGGATGTCGACGGGGAAAGGAAAACAATTGGCTTTTGCCATTTTGCAGCAGCGCAAAGGGGCCTGCACAGGGAACGTCCTAGGGTGGCGAGGGACATGATGGTGAGGATGGAGGGGCGTGTCGGAGAAGAATGTCGGAGAAGAGTGTCGGAGAGGAAGGGTGAAGAGGAGAATGCTTCCGAAGAAGTAGTAATCGTGGCCGTCGACGTTGATTGGTGTTGCTCTGTGACTGCGAGTGACGATAGGCGGAATTGGGAAGAGTTTGCGGAATGGAAAAAAATTCCAAACCACAATAAAACCCTCCCAGCAAGGGGTCAGCAAGGGGTTACTGTGCCCACCTGTATCACCGTTACCCCGCCACAACTCCTTCCCATCTCAACGCACCAACTGCAACACGCATCTTGCAGCGATGAGTATCTCCGACCCGCTCTCCTCCGGTCTCTTCTTCCGTCGCCGCCCTCGTCGTCCGCTTACCCCCTCTGTGACGCCGCCCATTTCCCGCCTGGCCCCCCCCCTTCGGCTCAGCCCCGCGTCGCGCCCCTCTTCGCTGCTCTCCTCCCTCCCGCCCTCGGCCGCGCCCGCCGCCTCGCTGCGCGAGCTCGTCGAGCGCAACGAGCAGCCGCTCGCTGTGCGCGCCGCCGCCGCCGCCCTACGCGCCGTGCAGTTGGAGCCTGACGCGAACGACCCCGTGTACGAATCCGCGCTCAACGCCGCAAGGAGCGTGTGCCAACAGGCCGACGAGGCGCGCCGAGAGGGAAGCGAAGTCAGGCGCCTCTTCGACGAAGAGGGACAAGGCTTGCACGACAACGGCTACGGAGACATTCCCCACGGTGACGTGCCCTCGTCCTCGTTTGGACTTGCGCACGCGCTGCCGCCGCACATGCCCTCGCTTGCCCATCAAGAAGACGCCTCGCAGGACGAAGGGGATGAGGAGGGGCTGCATTCCATGCCCCGTCCGGACGAGTTCGAAGCACGTCCGTTTTCCTCCGATTTAGATTCTCGCACAGCCCACATCCATTTGGCTACGCACTCTCTTACGCCGCATGGGTCAGTTGCGAATCCCCAGCGTGTGCAGGATTACGTGAAGGGCGAAGAAGCAGAAGAAGATTCGTTTGTCATGCCGCCCACCCCGACGCGCACCCTTCGTCCTCGTTCGTCGCCGCACGGAGTCCGTGCTGCACCCCTTCACGCATCTCCCGGCAAGCGAAAAGTAGTCGCGAAGGAACAGGCTGACACGTCGAGACCACGTGGCACCTCGGCCACAATCGTGAAGAAGGATGGCAATACGTCGAGAAAGCTTCGAGCCCCGGCCCTAGCCGTCAGGAAGGATGATGATACGCCGAGAAAGCCTCGAGCCTCTACCGCAGCCGCCAGGAAGGACGATGATAAGCCGAGGGAGCTTCGCGCTTCTACTGCAACCGCTAAAATGGATGGCGATGCGCCGAGAAAGCTTCGGGCCTCTACCGCAGCCGCTAAGAAGGTTGTCGATACGCCGAGAAAGCTTCGCTCCCCTGCGGCAGCCGCCAAGAAGGACGCTGATAAGCCGAGGGAGCTTCGCGCTTCTACTGCAACCTCTAAAAAGGATGGCGATGCGCCGAGAAAGCTTCGGGCCTCTACCGCAGCCGCTAAGAAGGATGTTGATACGCCGAGAAAGCTTCGCTCCACTGCGGCAGCCGCCAAAAAGGATGTTGCTACGCCGAGGGAGCTTCGCGCTTCTACTGCAACCTCTAAAAAGGATGGCGATGCGCCGAGAAAGCTTCGGGCCTCTACCGCAGCCGCTAAGAAGGATGTCGATACGCCGAGAAAGCTTCGCTCCACTGCGGCAGCCGCCAAAAAGGATGTTGATACGCCAAGAAAGCTTCGCTCCACTGCGGCAGCCGCCAAAAAGGATGTTGATACGCCTAGAAAGCTTAAGGCCTCTATCGCAGCCGCCAAGAAGGATAATAACACGCCGAAAAAGCTTCGCTCCTCTGCCGCAACCGGCAAGCAGGATGATGCAACGCCGAGAAATCATTGCGCACCGGTCGTAGCCTTGAAGAAGGAGACTGACACCCCGAGAAAGCTTCGCGCCTCGGCTGGAGCCGTGAAGAAGGAGACCGACACGCCCCGAGAGCGTCGCCCTGCGGCTTTATCCGCCAAGAAGGGGCCCGACACGCAGAGAGGGCGTCGCTCCTCGGCCCTGATCTCTGGTCAGGGAACGAAGCCGCGCAAATCACGTCTTTCTGAGGTTTTGAAGTTGCAGAAGGCTCTTGAGACAGCACAATGGACGAATTCCAGGGCAGTGAGCCAGCAAACGGAGGTGATTGTGATTTCCGATGACGAGGCGCCGTCTCAGATTGCAAAGAATGTTGCTTTACGGCGAAAATCGGTGACTAAGAGCCCCACAAAGCCTAGTCGAAGTGCAACCAAGTCTAAGATTGTAGTCAAAGTGGAGCGAATGGAAACGGACCCCCCGCGTGTTTTGCGATCTGAAGGGAAGAGTGCAACGAATAAGCAAGTAACACGGCCCCGTGCCCAATCGAAGACTATCCGAAAGCGATCACCTCCTTCCGGTACCGATGAGGAAACGATATTCGAGGGCGAAGTGGAGGAGAACGAGGAAGAAGTAGGGGAGGAAGAGGAAGAGGAAGAGGAGGAGGAAGAAGAAAAGAAATCAGAGGAAGAAAAGGAGGAGGAAGAAAAGGAGGTGGACGTAGAAGAGGAGGACGAAGAAGAGGAGGACGAAGAAGAGAAGGAGGAGCGTGTTGAATGGGAGCCCGGTAGGCTCAGGATGAAAAGAAGGAGAACAGAGCTTACTAGCAAGGTTCCCGAGGAGGACGAAGAAGAGGAGGACGAAGAAGAGAAAGAGGAGCGTGTTGAATGGAAGCCCGGTAGGCTCAGGATGAAAAGAAAGAGAAAAGAGCGTGCTGATGACGTTCCAGAGGAGAAAGAAGAAGAGGAAGATGAGGAGGAAGAAGAAGAGTGGAAAGAAGGAGAGGGAGAAGAAGAAGAGCAGGAGGAAGAAGAGGAGGTGCAAGAAGAACGGGAACTGGAGGAACTGGAAGAATGGGAGGAAGAAGAAGAGGAGGAAGAAGAGGAGGAAGAAGAGGAGGAAGAAGAGGAGCCACGGGAGGAAGATGATAAGGAGAAGCTTGTTGAATGGAAGCCTACAAGGCTCAGGATGAAGAGCAGGAGAACAGGGTTTGCTGACGAGATTCCGGCGGGAGGTAACCGTGTTCTTTACGGGAGGAATGAGAAGACATCCCAGTGGAGGCAGTCGCGGGCTTACCAAGAAGACTTCGGCGGCGTTAAAGAAGTAGAAGGGCTGACCAAACGGAAATCTCGGCGAAGAAAGTCGCGAGCAAGTTTAGGAGACTTTGGCGACAAAGAAGAAGTCGCTGAGCGAAATGGGAGCAAGACAAGGAGGACGAAGTCGCAACCTCTCGAAGGGTATCTAGTCGATGATGAGGAAGAACGTGATGAGCGAAATGAGAGGAAGTCCCAGCGGCGAAAATTTCGAGCCCACGTGTCTGTTGCGGAGGGCAAAAGGGCTGCAACGATGAGCCGACTTCACAAGAGCTCGGTCGTCACAAAATCACCACCGAGCGAGCGCACCAGCGCTATAACAACACGGAGTCACAGGGATGAAGAACGACAGTCAGAGCCATGCGGGGTGCACAAACAAGGGGCACCTGTCTTATTAAATCGAATCCGAAGGTCGCCGAGGCGGTCGAGATATCGAAGCGAAGCAAGCCCAACGATTGGTGTGGTACGATTAGACACAGCTACGTTTGCAAGAGGGGAAGTATCTGGGGACATGCCATCAACACGACGTCGAAAAGGAAGGCCGAAGAAGAATACAGAAGCCTCAAATGATGCTTTTACAGAAGTGAGTGGGGACTGGATACGTTCACGTGAGGAGGGTGTGCGACAAGATAGGAAAGGGAATGAACGCACCAGAAAGCTTCATGGCATTGTCGTTGAGAATAGGGGAAACGAAACCCAGGACTTGCCAGCGAGCGATGGAGAAAATGTGATGATGACAGAGCAGAATCCATCTAGGACCACAAATAGCCCATCACAGCGAAAACGTCGGAGGGTTCAGCGTATTGTAGAGGAAGACTCAGAAGTAGATGCACCACTTGAGAAGGCTACCGTGCGACGTGTGGATGTTAGAGATTCGGCCTGCACAGATGCAAATTCGGAATCGCCAATGAATACACGAAAGAAGCAGCGGACTCACATCCAATCGGTACCAGCCAGCGGAATCGAAAAAGGTTCAGCAGTCAAGGGTGATGAGGTTTCCCCGACAGACAATCCGAAACAGAATACGAAGAAGAGCAAATCGCGGAATGATGTCACAAGTCCTCAGCTCAGGACCAGAAGTCAAGGAATGTTGCAAGGCGAGCCATCGAGAGCGCGACTGACTATCAGCGGTAATCAACGAAAGCTTGTCGGCGGCAGTGACGACGAGGATTGGGAAGCGGACACATTGAGCGCTGACGAATGGGATTCAATCATTCATGGCTGGATGTTGCAAGGCCAGGTGCAGAGTAGTGGAATGAACTGGGTGGGTCTAAGAGAAATGTGGGACGCGCTGTGTTGTCCGTTCGGGTTGGGGAGGAATGCGGCGCAAATCGTACCGGAGCTGGCTGAGTGTAGACCCGCGATGAGTGGCAAGGATAGTGGGACTCGCGAGACTGCAAACAAGAGTGGTGCATTAGATGACGAGGAAACTGTTTCTGAGCAAGTCTCAGACGGAGAAGCGCTCGAAGAGAGGAAGCAAGCAGGGTGTGAAGTAGGGTGAAGTTTTTTTGCGTGAGGTTGTCTTTTCTCGCTACAGTAGATGATGAGCTGCTTGAATGTGTGTATATATGCGACAGATATCTCCACTTATTTGTTGTTTTGCTCCGTGCTTGTACCTGTAGTTTCCGGGGCAGACTGCTTGAGCAGGTCGCCAAGCTTCCTCTGGGCGTCAGAAGGTCCGGAATCAGCGACGGCGGGTTCGGCGCAGATAGCGTCCTTCTTGACCAGTCCGACAGGCTTCTTTGGGGGGCCCGCGGCTAGCTTGGCCGCTAGGTCGTTCATGAAACTGGGCTTGTCACTGGGGAACGGGTCAGGTTCTGTCGAAGAGGTTCGTGAGTATAAATAAAAAAGAATAAGAGCATAGCTTACCTCATTTTGGACAGGGGATGATGCGTGGGATGGGTGATTTTGGACAGGGAATGATGCGTGGGATGGGTGTTGTCGCAGACGATGGGAAGAGGTGCGGGAAGTCTGTGACGAGAAGTATCCACCCTTCAATAGCTCCGGGCATCTGGAGAGGGCCTTTGGCGACCTTCTCTGCGCTCCCCAGCGATGTGTTTTGGCCGAGATTTCAGAGAAGCAGGAAATATCTGTTCAGTACCAACTGCATCACACGTGGCACCTACAGTGACGTCATCGTCCCACGATCAACCACTAAGATCCCTTCTCGACTCTGGTCGGGGATCTGCCCCACATCCTCCTGTTCAAACCTAATCTAAAACAGATGCAGACATCCTCACGTCCTCCTTACCTTCGATGCGGTTCTTCCGCCCTCCCTCCCGTGCGATCTCGCTCTTCACGCCCTCTACCTCGAGCGCGCAGACACCGGGCGTCTTCGGTCTCGCCGGCCTTCACCGCCCCTCAGACTGGCTCTCTATCGCTTCGCGCTGCGCTGACGACTGCCTCTCCCTCGCCGACCGTATCCGTCGTCACGAGCCCTCGCGCAACCCCGCCGTCCTCCAAACCTTCGACGACCTTTCCGACCGCCTATGCCGCGTCCTCGATGCGGCAGAGCTGTGCCGCAACGTCCACCCCGACCAGGAGTTCGTCCACGCCGCCAACGACGCTTTCGTACAACTTTCGGAAGTCGTCCAGCACTTGAATGCCGATCATGCTTTGTACGAACCGCTCAACGTGCTCTATCATGAAAATGAAGACGCAGGCGGGGGTGATGGGGGGTTTTTGCGGGGAGAGGACGCCGTCATGGTCCGCTCGCTGAAGAGCGACTTCGAGCGTGGCGGCATTCACCTTCCCGGGCCTGACAAGCGCCGTCTCATCGAGCTGCAGTCGCAAGCGAGTGCGCATGGTGCGGATTTTGTGTCGTCGCACGCGGAGCGCCCCCCGCGTCTGGATCTACCGAAGGCGAAGCTGCGGCAGGTGCCGCCGAGTGTGCGGCGACGATTTGAAGAGTCACTCACGCCGGAGCACGTGCGAGTAGGTGTTGACACCGCGACTGGTCAAGCGCTGCTCAAGTGGGTGTCCGACTCGCGCGTGCGCGAAAGAGTGTACCGAGCTATGTACGGGCATTGTGCGGAGGGGAAACTTGCGGCGTTGGATCGGTTGCTTGGGGAGAGGAAGGAGATGGCGGCGATTTTAGGGCATGACAGTTATGCGCATCTCATGTTTGGAGATAGGCTCGCGTCGTCGCCGGGGGAGGTGGAGGCGTTCTTGGCAAGGCTTTCGAGGCTCGTTAGGGAGGGGGGACAACGCGATCGCAACGCCATCGAGATTGAAAAGTTGCGTGTCGAGCCGCACGTCTCAGAGGGGGAGGGTGGCGTGCATGGCTGGGATAGGAGTTTTTATATAGGTAGGTTGAAGTCCCAGGACTTTGACCTTTCTGCGGCGGAGGTGTCAAACTATTTGCCGCTGTCGGCATGTCTGGCTGGGCTTGCAGATGTGGTGCGAACCGTGTTTGGCGTTACGATGACAAAGGTGAAGCCCGAGAGAGGGGAGCTTTGGCATGAAGACGTGGAGAAGGTGCTGCTCGCGGATGAAAATGGGGCGGAGCTGGGGTACATATTTCTCGACTTGTACCCGCGCGAGGGGAAGTATGGGCATGCTGCCCATTTTGCGATCAGGGGTGGGCGACAGCCGGCGTCTCAGAAGGAGTACCAAACTCCGGTCGTTGCGCTGGTGTGTAACTTTGGGAAAGGGGTCTCCTCGCGAGATGATATTCGTTTGACGATTTCTGAGAATGAATGTCTGTGGCATGAGGCAGGGCATTGTATTCATTCTATACTTTCCAGAACTAGGTACCAGCATTTGTCTGGAACACGAGTGCCGACAGATTTTGTAGAGGTCCCGTCTCACTTGTTCGAGAATTTTGTGTGGGACCCTCGGATTATTTCTCGTTTTGCGCGACACCACAGTACGGGTGACCCCATGCCTACACGTCTTGTAAGAGCGTTGTGTGCATCGCGGAAGGGTTTTATGGCCACTGATATTGAAATGCAACTCCTGTTTTCTACGATGGACTTACGCTTCCACGGGAGCGACCCGCCCATGGGTCAGACAACTTCCACATTTGAAGCTCTGCAAAAAGAACTGACCTCTTATCAGCCGGACGGAGGCGTCCCAATTCCAGCGACTTTTCATCATTTCGTTGGATACGGGGCTGGTTACTACTCTTACATCTTTGCGCGTGTGATATCCGCACAGCTATCGTCACATCTTTTCAGCAGCGATCCTCTTTCAAGGGAGGGTGGCCTGAAGATCAGGAATGGAATTCTCGCATACGGAGGAGCCCGTGATCCGGCCTCTCTTTTGCGTAATGTCCTCAAACATGATGTCAGCTGCGTTCCATTTTTAGAGTCAACCGGAATAGATGTCCACAGCCACAGAGGTCTCAGTCTACCGATTTCGAAGCCCAATGTCGGATGAAACCTTACCTCAATTTTTTTCGCTGCAGGTGAGGTGATTCAAACTAATGCGATTCGCCATATCCCCCTCCGCCAGGAGTACTAATCTGCACGATATCCCCACTATCAACATGTACACTATTTTTACCCCCTAACACCTTGCGGGCGCCGTCTGGATGAATCAGCTCGTTGATACCCATTGCTCCGTCACGGCCACCAGCCATTCCCCATGGAGCATAATTTCTACGTTCTGTCAACACGGAGACGGTCATCGGCTTTGTGAATTCAATAGCGCGAATCAGTCCGTCCCCACCCTGATACTTCCCATCTCCACCAGATCCCTTTCGAATCGAAAACTCCCTCAACACGGCCGGGTAGCGCCGCTCTAATATTTCGGGATCTGTGATTCTTGTATTGGTCATGTGACATTGCACACCAGACGTACCGTTCCAGCTCGAGCCTGCACCACAACCGCCACCAATTGTCTCGTAATACCCCATTGTTTCATCCCCGAACGTAAGGTTGTTCATACATCCTTGTGATGCGGCACAAGCCTTGAAAGCCCCCAGAATGACATCTGTAAGTCTTTGAGAGGTCAGCACGTTGCCACCTACGACCGCAGCTGTTGGACTTGGAGAAAGAATCGAGCTTTCTGGAATTTTCATAGTGATGGGATCCAAGCAGCCTTGGTTCAGTGGTATGTCTTGATCGACCATACACCGAAGCGCGTAGATAATAGCAGACGATGTGATTGCTCTTGGTGCGTTTGTGTTGCCGTCTACTTGAGGTCCTGATCCACGGAAGTCAAAAGATGCAGTGCCGTTCTCTTCATCAATCGAAACGGCGAGCTTGATTTCAGTGCCGTCATCCATGTGGTCCATGAATTGGAGTGGCTCTTTCCCTGCAAGCCCATTCTCTCGGCTGATCTCTTTTAACATCAGGTGAACTGCGTGGGCTGCAGCTTCTTGAATATGATGCATGTAAGATACAACTTTTGTTAAGCCTTGCTCATTGATTAACTCTGTCACTAGTGAAATTCCCTTCTTGTTGGCTGCAACTTGTGCTCGAAGGTCTGACAGGACGTCTCTCACACAGCGACAGCCCGCTTCCTCCAAACGCTTCACAATCTCGGATTCTTGGAACAAGCCGTTCCTTACCAGCTTCATCGATTTCACCGCGAGACCTTCTTCTTCAAGCTTCCGGCTGAAAGGGGGCATGGACCCAGGGGTCGCCCCCCCAATATCTGCGTGATGCCCTCGAGAAGCAACGAAAAAGACAATCTGGTCTTCGTAGTACACTGGAGTGATGATAGTGATGTCAGGAAGATGAGTCCCACCCGCACTTGGATGGTTGCTGAGAAGAACTTCGCCCTCCTTCCAAGCAGTGCCCAAGGTTCGAATTTGATAGCGAACCGCGTCTTGCATGGCTCCTAAATGAACAGGGACGTGTGGAGCATTCGCAACTAACCCTCCTGTATCGTCAAACAGTGCACACGAAAAGTCAAGTCTCTCCTTAATGTTTGTTGATATAGACGTTCTTTGCAATGTACGGCCCATTTGTTCAGCAATCCCCATAAAGCGATGGGAGAAGATTGAAAGCTGAATGTGATCAACGCCACCTGCGGTCGTGTTGGCTTGAATTGCACCGCTTCCTGACGTCTTTCGTAGCAGATTTATAACCACATTACCATCGCTTCCCACTCGAGCTGCGCAGCCCGGATCCACCACGATCGTTATCCCGGCATCCGTATCTACGATAAGACAGGGACCACAAAGCACTGCCCGACCTCTAGGTAGTTCTTTGCTGCGCCATACAGGAGTTTCCAACCATCCGCCGTCTTCGGAAAAGAAGCATTTTGTTAGCTGGACAGGTTCTGCTGTTTCAGCCCTCGGTTTGACGTTTTCTTCTTCATCTACTTCAAGGCTAGCTACTGTGACTGCATATTCTGACTTCGATTCCGAGGACTTAGATGCTACAGAAGATCCAATAGCTCGGACCCGGGCGTCGTCGACGACAATTTTTCTGCCAGGAATGTTGAACCCATGTTCTCTTGTATATTCATCCAAGAACAAGCTGTCAAACTCAACCTCTGATACCCTATCACTCATATTCTCTGGACACTGCACCATTATCCCAAAGTCAGTTCCCTCGTAGCGCAGGTTCAGGTACAGTTCGAAACGTATCGACTCTGGTTGTATCTTTCTACCCGTTAACGTGGCACATGCTTCCTCCTTCAACTTATGCAGGAGTGCGAACGCTTCGGCACGGGACGAAAGATTTGCGTACAGGATGTCTGTGGGCTCTTGCACTTCGACAACGCTCTCAGCCAAGGCGATACCATAGGCGGACAATATTCCGGAATACTTGTGCACAAAGACAGTTTTGATGCCGAGTGAGCGAGCAACTGCACATGCATGTTGGCCCCCTGCGCCACCGAAGCAAGCAAGAGTATGATCTCGCACATCATGGCCTTTTGCCTCTGTCAGTTGTCGGATAGGACGACACATAGCCTCGTTCGCTACCTTGATGAAGCCTTCGGCTACTTGCTCCCGGGACAACTCTGGTTCATTCTGCTGCCGAAGATCAGCATTAATGGTTGCCGTGAGTTTGTCAAAAGCCAATTGCGTCGCTTGTACATCCAACGGTTGATCAGCGTTCTTTCCAAATATCTTTGGGAACAAGTCTGGGACGATGCGGCCTAAAATCAAGTTAGCGTCCGTGACGGTCAAGTGCCCACCCTTTCGATAGCAAACTGGACCAGGATGAGCTCCTGCAGATTCTGGACCCACGTAAAACATCCCGCTTCGATAGAACAGTCTTGAACCACCACCAGCGGCTACAGTGTTAATGTCTAGCTGAGGTGCCTGGATGGTGACTCCTGCCGTTTCAGTTTCAAACACATGTTCTAGTCGACCTGCATAGCGCGAGACGTCAGTTGATGTGCCCCCCATGTCAAAGCCGATGACAGGCATCGGAGGTGCGGCGAGACCGACCTCTGGGGTGTTTCTTTCGTACCCGTAGCATGCTTTGGCATAACCCACGACGCCGCCGGCGGGCCCTGACAAAATAGCGACGTAGCCACTGAAAGAATCTATGTTACACAAACCGCCATCGCTTTGCATGAACTGAACATCAACCCCGCCAAGTTGATTCTGAAAACCAGCTTTAAATGTAGCAATGTAACCACGAATTTTTGGTGTGAGGTACGCATCGACGGTGGCTGTGAAACCACGCGGAACAATTTTGACCATTGGAGTTAGCTCGCTTGAAAGAGATATATGAGAAAATCCAAGGTTTGTCGCTATTTCCTTAACGTGTTGTTCGTGGTCCTTAAAGGCGTACGAATGCATTAAAGCGACGGCGAGGGAAGAAATGCCTTGTTCCCTGACCCTTTTTAGATCTTTAGTTAGCTTTTCCACATTGAGTGGTTTGTGTATTTTCAAAGACGGTTGAATACCCTTTCCAAAGTGAGTGTGATTTGCCGAGTGTATCATTCTGACGCGTTCCTCGGCACCGACGGTACATTTGTAGAGGACGGGCATCTTGGTCACTTTAAGATCAAAAATGTTGGGACGGGCTTGATTACCAATGGCGAGCATATCTTGTAGACCCTCTGATGTGACCAGAGCACATGCTTCCCCTTCGCGTTCAAGCAAAGCGTTTGTCGCGACAGTCGTGCCCATGCGAATCCATTGGATGTGAGAGCTGTTGAGGGGTTCATGTCGGGAAATTCTTGCTTTCGTGGCAAGCTGTAGCACTCTTCGGATGGCTTCTGTGGGAGCATCGGGGTAATTAGCAGGGTCGACCGAAAGCAACTTTAGGACATGATGTTCAGAAAGTGTACTGTCCGGTTTGTCTGGATCGGGTCGGTCGATTTCAGCATAAATATCTGTGAAAGTCCCTCCGCGGTCGATGGCAACGCGAACAAGCGGGGTAGGAGATTCTGTAGACATGGATGCTTGGTCTATACTGGCTGACCGAGAGGCACTCAAGAGGGCATTTATACTATACTTTGTTGCTTTTGAGAGACCTCCAAACCAAGTTCAATCCGAGACGTAGAATTTATGTCTGTGCTGAGGACGATGAGGTCAAATCCTCATCATTGCCTCATCATCTCGCACCCGGTTCTGATCAACCTGAACAAGTCTCTAATGATGAATGGCCATTCGCTCCTGAAACTGTAAAAGAGCGTCGAAACCCTGGCTTAAAAAAAACCTCCCTTTTCAGCCTCCTCGGTGGATGTGTAACTCATTTGTATTGGATGCCGATCAAACTTGTTGTCCAATAGAAAATAGCCAAATTGCAAGCAGTGGAAAGACCGAAGCCGAAAGTATACAAGAATCTGATTGGTGAAGTTTAAACAGTGCCGTTACAAGAACATTTGGTAATTTGAAAATCAACAAATCCCCCGTTTTCGGAGCTGTTCCACATCTGCCCGCAGCCACACCCCACAGCCTCAATCGGGCGACTCTCTCCGGTCATTCACGCCGCCCTTCAGCAACCCTCAACTTCCCGCAGAACCTTTTCCTATCCTTCTCGCCTCTTCACAAAGCGCCTCTAATCGCTCCCTCTAACCTCCTATTCCCGCATCATCTCAATGATTTAGCACCACGGAGCTCCGCAGCTCCAGCCACACCCATCACCTCCCCACAACCCATCATGACACCCCCCTCACCCACGAACGGCGACTCCTGGTTTATTGAAGCCAACTGCCCAAAGTTTTTCGACTTTGCAAACGCCCTTCAATCACAATGCTCCCTCGACCGCCAATACAACCCGCCCCTGCACGACTTCGTGTACCAGAGCGATGAAGAGTCTGACGCCTTCTTTCGCAGCGCTGCTGAAACTGCACCCTCCCCGCCTCCGAAACGCCCCCAACAACGGATGCTCAGCCCACGCCATTTTGGCAAGCCCACCGACAGACACAGACCCAAGATTTCCTTCGAGGAGTTCCTGCGTCAACATGAAATGCGACAGCGAATCAAGAACAGACGCAGCGTTCACATCTTGGCACCCGTTTCATCGACAGACAATGTGCTGGCAGAGGAACAACATTCTAGGTCGTCAGCTTCGTTGGAACACTATCTCGATAAGCGCAACCGATACAAAAGCCTCCCTACAAGGAATAACGGTAATAGTGCGCAACAGCAAGCAATGCAAACGCATCTCGATTCCGACAAGGAAAACATGGAGCTCCAAACCCCTACTCTTGATTCAATCGTCACTCCTGTAACCATGCGCCGTACCGCTCGACAGTACACTCCGTCGCGAGTACGCGACCATTCCAACGTCGCAAGGTCGTTGTTTGCGTCCCCGCGAACCCCACTAGCCTCACCTGTCCGCCGCATGTTTCGAAAAGACCTCGCACCTCGTTTTGCTGAGCCCCGTCGTTTATCGCCAGAGGAACAGGCAAAAATTTCCTCAGGCTCTTCCCGAAACGCCGGCTCAGGTCTGAATCGACGAGCTTTCTCCATGAGGCTTCCAGCGCGGACAACACCTCCTACGTCAGGCGAAACGCTCCCTTCCGCAGGAAATCCGGCTTCGCGCGGGAATGGCAAGTCCAGGGCTTTTATCGACCGCCCCGCCGATGGTTCTGGGGGCGGAAGAATAGCTCTTCCGTTACGCAGAGTACGCCCGACCACATCCGCCAGTTCAACTTCTACCATTACCCCACCCCTTGCACAGCAATATTCAACAATAGCTTCAGATGCCAAACCCAATTCAGATTCGCCGGAGAGTCAGCACCCTGAAGGACGTCAGGAGGAGCCCATAGAGAGGAGAGAATCTCTGGTTGCCAAGGCCCGACAACTGAAGAAGTCAGCTTATTTTACTCGTCCATCAGCATCATCTTCTTCAACCCAAGGCGATGCTAAGGCTGATCACATCCAATATCCTGACTTACTTCATAAACTTGAGGAACACAACAGAAGAATGCGGATGAGCGGGAAACACAACAAAGCCAAGCTTGAAGAGCTCCCGAACCCTCAGCGAGACATAACCCCGCCTCTCCATAATCCAGAACGCCGCGGGCAAGGAAAGCCAGCTGACGAGGTGGAGAGCAGCCAGGATTCTGTTGAAGGAGAGGCAAAAGACATGCCACCTGACACCGTACCTAAGAACGAAGCAAGGAATTCGGGGCCGCTCTCTTTGAGTGATTTACTTCAGTCAGAAAACCATCGAATCCTGAATGAAAGGAAACAGAGATTACCAGAAAGAAAGAAGGCAATAAAAGCAAACAAGATGACAGTATTGCAGCGGATCGAAGGACAGAGACAAGCCGCCGCCCTCCAAGGAAAACGAAATTCCGCTCTTGTTGAATTTACGTCATCAGTGCCTGTTCAGAGACCAAGGCAGGGCGGCTACCAAAAGCAGCCGACTAGACCGTCCGGATCAGTCAGATTCAAATCGTCAAAACCAAAGAACTCGAACGTACCGCCACGAAATAACCCCTCACAAAACAGAGCGCAGGGTGTGAAAAAGCGGACGAAAAGCACTGGCACGGCATCCTTGAAAGGAGACGGACACCAAGAACCGAAGCCGTCTCGGGGTGCAAATGTCACCCGCGCAATCACGAACAAAACTTCCAGGACAGACCAAATTAAGGCTGCGGCGAAACAGAAGCTCGAAGAAGATCGCTTGGAGAGTGATCTGCAGTCCATGCTTAATCAGCATAATAGTAGAGTGAAGAACAACAGAAAAGTTAGAACATGATCAACTTCCGGGTCCAATTGCATGGGATGGTCATTGTATATAATTTATAGATTGGGGTTTTCACGTATTCTCATTGCAGCACATAAAGCAACTGAGGAGAGCTGCTCGCAAAGAAGCAATCATATCTCCAAGCATCACATGTAACCTAATGCATGACTACCTTCATTAGAGAATACTAACAGACTGGCCCGCCCAAAAGCCGTCGCCCACTGTGACGTAGAAATACACAGCCTTCCATGAATGAATTTAAGCTGGAACGATGCTGTTGTAATGCTCGCCGAGGCCTAAGTAATGCCGGTGGAAGGAAACGCGCAAGACTGGGCGCGATTCCGTTTGCTTTCCCATTTTCACGATGGGCAAGTTAGCTGCGTAAACATCAATCTCTGTTTGAAGAATTTCAGCTAGTGCGCGAAGTTCAACCTGTCCACCCCAGACAGGTTCGTTGCGCAGATCGTCACAATATTTTTTGAAAAGCTCCTCATCCCCCTGGACCGTTTCTAGAAATGGCATGTAGTCGTCCTTATGCGACATCAGATAGTCGGCCGTGACATTCCTCAGATCCTGCACCGAAGCAGGTACTGGCGATGAAAGGTCAGTAGTCCCCATCTGATGCGCCACAGCGCTATACAAGCAGTGCCCATCAGCCATTATAGGTTGAATTCTCATGCTTTTCGATTTAAGTTGCGCTTGTATCGCGGCTGTTTCAAGATATTTTGGAGACGGCCCCATGCTGGCCTGCTCCGCCTCAACACGGCGCTGTGACTCAGCTTCCTTCTCCGCTTTTTTTCTTCTTCTCCGAGCAGCTTTTGATTCTGTTCTACCCCCCAATCTCTGGGCAACTTCATTGCTTTCGGGTAATTGAGGATTAGCGATGTCCGTAGGCTCTGCTTCTTCCTCTTCGATGCCGCTCTCCAATCTCTCAAGTGCCTGCGCTTCGAGTAGTCTCTTTTCTTCCTCAGCGGCATCTTCAGCTGCTCGGGCACGTCCCGCTCTGTCTTTTTTCGGAATTGAAGACCGTAATCTCTCGCTTTTCTTCTTTAAATGTTTTCGTTCTTCTTCCTGTCGTGCTAGAACTTGTGACTTGGATATTCTGGGCAAAATGACCTCTTCGTCGTCCTGACCGGCAGGCGTATCGGTAGCAATGCTCGCATCATTCCTGGTAACAGAGGTAGAGAGAGATGTTTCACCGTCATGCAGCGTCATTTTTTTTTTTTTTTTTTCTGTTTTCGGGGTTCGCAAGCGAGTGCTTGTTGCTGTCGAGCCTTAAGTTCAAAGAGATGGCGTGTCCGACGTCGGTGAGTCTCCCCCCAAAAAGGCATAGTAGAGAATCACACTCGCGGCAACCCATAGCGCATCCAATAGCGCGAGGAGAACAATACTGTACGGTGCTGTAGAGCTCTACCTGAGCCAATAGATTCGTACCGAGGTGCAATGCAATACTCAGATTTATTAAAAAACACCAATCAGGGTTAATGCGCAACGTGAAATCCCCCTTCCCCCAATCCCCTCCCCGCCTTCCACCGTCTTCACCAGCTCCCGCTAAGACGCCCGCTTGACTAAAGTGGTGTTATGTTTGATTTGCAAGGCCTTGTAATTGAACCTCACATGTCTGCATGCTAACCTCTATCGCACTTTCCACCCTAGCACTAACCAACCAACCAGTCATCATAGGTAATTGTCCATTTGCAGTGGGTCTGCAGAGGGAACGGCAGCGTTATCATCCGCGGCACAAGCCATCTCCACCACCCCCCTCCCCTCGACATAATGTCAACCAACATGCACTCCGCACCACCAACAAGCACCGATGTCGCACAAGGCGACGATGACAGTGCACCGGTGATTTTGCATCCACTAGTCGTCATCAATGTCTCCGACCACTACACGCGCTTCGCCGCCATGCGCATGTTCCCCGAGGCCGCAGCACGCAACGCCGCCGCAGATCCCTCAATCGCCGCACATGCACTTACCGATTCGCGAGGAAATACCAGAGTCATCGGTATTCTGCTTGGCGTGCAGAGCGGAAGAACCGTCGAAATATGTCACTCTTTCGAACTGCAGGCCACCATGTCGCTGGATCATATCACCGTTGTCGACGCCGAGTTTATGCAGAACCGCATCTCGCAGTACAAACAAATTTTTGGGCAATACAATGTCGTGGGGTGGTATTGCACGGGATCTGAAGTCTCGCCAGAAGACATGAGGTTGCATACAGAGGTGTTTTCGGTGCTTAATGAAGCGCCCATCTTGCTCATTATGAACCCTGGCTCCTCCGCAACAGCTGGTGCCGCTTCCAGTAGCAAAGCCCCTGCAAGTTCACATAGGGGCGATGCGAGGCAAGTTTATTCTCAAAACGTCCTCACTGCGTACCAAATGGAATTGCGAGTTGTCAACGACCTTCCAAAAATGATGCTCGCGTCTGTGCCTCATCGATATGCATCAGAGGACTCAGAAAGAATTGCCGTAGATCATGTTATGAGGCATGCCGTACCCGGTGGCGGCGATGGCACGTCGAGCACGGCTCTGCATCTATATACTTTGCGCCGCTCTATCAAGATGTTGAAAAGCAGAATGAACCTCCTAGTGGCATTTTTAGAGGCTACTTTAAATGGCTCTATAGAGGTGGACCACTCTCTGTTACGCCGTGTGGCAGGTGTTTGTGCAAGACTGCCTGCAATGGATTGCAAGGAATTCTCTGATGCATTCGCAGACGAACGGCAAGACTCATTAGTGGTTACCTATCTCGCGGGCGTCACCAAATCACTATGCTCGTTGAACGAGGCAGTTGACATGTTTAATCGATCCTGCGAGAGAGGTGCGGCAACGGGCACTGGCAAACGGCGAGGATGTTTCCCGCGCCCGTAAACGCCTACGAAAACAACACCTGATTCGAAATTTCTTCCCATGTCAGGACATTCGATAATCCTGACCCCTAACTTTTTAAACTGTCAGTCTTTGAATCATGACGCCGAGCAACGCTCGTCGCGAATACGCAGGTTCGGTCTCAACGTTGCGCCAAGTCACATCTTGATACTTTCAACTACGTCCAAGCACCTAGCTATCAAGTGACATCACCCAATCCGAGCCAGTAGGTGATTCGATGGCTTCGCTCTCCCTGTTCTGAACTGGAATTTTTGGTTGCAACGACGGACGGCCTCTTTTCACGATGCCGCAATCGGCTGGTACGGGATACTTGGAAGGATCCAAGTTCATTGTTCTAGCTCTATCTTTCAAGCTCATGGGGGTCCGCGTATACTTCCCCTTCCCGAAATCATCTGAGATCTGTCTCCACATTCCCCAACCGTACCTCGTCAGTCCCTCAACAAGAAGCTCATCCTCGTAAATCTGAAAGCGACCTGTTCTCATCAATCGCCCATTGCCAATTGGTTCTTGGTTCGTCACAAGTTCCTCTTCCGAGCTAGCATCCATGTCGATATCCTGCCTCATCTTTCGCTTTCTTCTAATAATGGGTGCTGAATCTGGAATCGGACTTGCAGCTCGGCCATTGACATCTCCAGAATACTGTAACATGAGCGACGATCTCACTCGACGCCTAGCGTGTTTTGCGTCTCGCACAGAATCTCGCAGTGGGTCGGGTATTCCAGAAGCCCTGGAGCGCGCATTCGCCTCACGCAATTTCCTCACCGTCTCCCCGCCGCGGCCAGTAACTTCTGACCTGCTGATTTCGTCTGAGTCTGAGTCAGTCTCACCCCGTACCCCATTGTCCCCCGATGCATTCCCATGTAGAGCCTCCTTATCCACAACATGAGGAGACTTAGACCCTTCACGGCCGCTTTGGTCTCCTTTTTTCCCTTTACGCCTTGTTCTGGAATGCCTTGAGACGGGAACTTCAAGTGGAGCAGCCTCCCCTTGAGTTTCTCCGTCAAAAAGGTCCGAAGAAATAGATTTCACAGCATCGATGAGTGCTCCATCTTCGCAGTTCTCATCCTCCAGTCGTTTATTCGGCTTGGCATCGTCAGCATTGGGAGCACAATAAGAAGGATCGTTGCCGTCTGAATCTTGGCGTTTTTCGGGTTTGGTGCCCTCTGCATTTGCTACCTCTTCATGATTGCTGTCCCCTTCAATGTCGCCAACATCTGGCACGACATAGGCACCCTGAGGTAAAGTCCTGGGTCTTAAACTTCTCCGAGGTGTGTCTGCTCCCTCATCGGCAGATGAATCATGAGTTTTCTCGTTTTCATTGGAACGCCGCTTCTTTCTGGGCGGGTCCTTCCACCGAATCTCGGCCACTGCCTCGCTATCTGTTTCATTTTGCCTTTCTAGGAGCTCGTCAGATCCTTCCTCTGATTCGTCAGTCCGCATCGGACTGAAAGCGTGCTGACCACCCTTGACTGAGTCATTTTCATTCAAGGTAGACTGCATTTCAACGGCATCTAGCCTAACGCCCTCGTCCTCCGAAAAGAAATCTGGAACCTGCCTTGAACGACTCTTCGAAGCCGCGCCGTTGGGTTGGGAATGGTCGCGGGATTTACGCTTTTCCAGCTGATGCATCTTATGCACCCAAAGCCATGAATTATGCCTTTGCCGAAGGTCAAGAGCCAATTTGTGCAAGCGCGGCCGAAAGTCGGAAACCGAGTAGCGCTTATAAACATTGTTGGCAGCACGGCGGGTGGCTTTCATTCGTTGCATGTGGTGGCTGCCGTCGTCCAGTCGATACAGCGCGGCGGCAACGTCCTTAATGGTATCCGCGGCAATCTGCCTAATGCGAACAGTGAGTTTGGAGGACCATGCCTTATCCCTGGTAAGGTCCATAACGCGTCGATACGTGGCCTTGAGGTTGCGCCTGCGCACTAACGGCAGAAGCTCCAAAGCGGCATGCAAGAAAGCAATGAGCAACATGAGCTGCAGTTTTTCGTCGAGCGTGACATCAAAGCTGATGATGAGCTCGACCATATCCACGACCAACGGAGCTTCCACCGGGTCAAGCTTGGTCGCATGCACATCGAATGCGTCGTTTATCGCTGACACGGCCGTACTTAAAGCGCGCTGCGTGACCTTCACGGAGAGCACGGCCTCCTCGCCGTAGCTGTTGTGCAGCGCCTTCTGCGTCGCCTCGCGAGGCCCCCGGCTCCATAGCGCCTTCGCTAGACTCGGGCGGGAGACCAGGTGACGCAGCACCTCCACGTCAATACGCAGCGCCTCCTTCCCTTTCGGGGCGGGCGGGCGGCGTTGCGCGGCTGGCATGGCGAGATGGCGCGTTCACAAGAAGGTCGGGAATGTAACAGGGATGTGCTTGAGGATGGCCAGGGTGGAAATGGGGCGCACAAATATATCTGCAGTGAAAGAGATGACCGATGCGTTTCGGTTTGGCGCCGTTTCGCTCTGGAACGAGCGGGGTTTCTACCCGCCTTGTACTGCCTCGTACCCGCCCCCTGCGGTTTACAGCGGGTGGGCATTACAGAGATGGAATTCCGGCTGTTGCCCTTGTTTCACGTCTTGTTTCAAGTCTTGTTTGACGTCTTGTTTGACGTCTTGTTTGACTTCTGTACACGTCGAGACGTGTAACACGTGCAGACACGTGTGTGGTATCTGTTTCAATCGAACAGCGCTCGCTCATCTTCGTCAACGGCCAAGTCATCTCATCGCATTTTGAATTTCGGAGCACAGTCATGGCGTGCTCAGTTTTTTACGCCTAAACTATTACTAGAGTATAGGCAAGTCATCTCATCTCAGTCATCTCATCTCAGTCATCTCATCTCATTCATCTCATTGCACTTTAAACTTTGGAGCACAGTCTTGACGTGCTCAGTTTTTTACGCCCAAAATATTACGTTCTTGTTAAAAAAAATATCTCATACAGTAGCATAAAAGAAGCGCGTCCCGCTGCCCCGCGGAACAGCAGCTTCAAAGTGGTGAAGCACTATCGTTCGATACTGGAGAGAGCTTCGTTCTGCCCGATGAAAGAAACAAACCATCTTTGTAGGATTTTCCTATCATCTTCTACTTTACATTTGGAAAGCATCTCGACGCCGTCACGCATAAAGCAGTAACTGCAGTAGAACCAGCTACCAGATTAGAGTATGTTAAAGAGTCGACTCTCAACAGAATGGGTATTCCTTCAGGCCTTGCCGAGGTCGTATCCTTGAATACGTATAGTTCCACCCGCTTGACAGAAACGCAAACTTGCAGAAAAGCGTTCACCAGAGGAAAAACACGATCTTTACTCACAAGAATACAAATTAACAAAGTATTATCATCTCAACTGGCGAACGCCTTTCTGGAACCACAACACGTTGTCAAGCTAAGGACAAAACATACCTTATGTTGTCAATTGCTACGATAACAATATCAGCTTGCACAGATCTGAAGATAGAATGACAGACGTCAGCAAAGACGGCCATCCCAAGAAATCTAAGCAAAGAAACTGAATCACATCAGAAGGGAATGATTTCTGGTCTTGAAGAGTCACCCATATTGCCACATACATACGGGCGGCCCCCAGTTTTGCAGAATGCAAGGGAAAGAGTCCTGAGTCCAAGACTATCTGCAGTATTTTAGTCAATGATACGATGAAGTAGACAAAAGTTGCCATACACAAGAATATGACGCAGTTGGACGAAAGCGTCGTGGGCTTTATTATATACCAAGGAAGAAAGCTCTGGTTTGTCACCTAGTGACAATTACCGAACGGCTTCAGGACAAACTGGTCACTTCAGCGACATTTCCAGTGCAGACGTTGTCGACGTTCCGGCGACTTTCTTCATAGTTCAGTCGGTAGACAATCCCACCATAGGAGCTTAATCTACCGGCCTTTTCATCATTTTCGCTACCTCTTTAGTTAATATGGCATGCCATCCGCCTCTCACGCTCTTTGTTCAATCCCTGTGCTCAACCCCTGTGCTAACTGCACTTAAGCCTTCGTTGTGGGGTGTCATGTATCTGTTGCAGATCTTCCTATTGTCATGCATGCACAAGATTCTTCTACTGAGAACCTTTCGCGGTTACATATCGCAGAACAAACGAGTTAGCTGCTTGATATTAGCCAACAAGCAACTACGTCAGCAAGCACCAGCCCCGACCTACGCTCATTTCGACTCTTATCTCCAGCTAATCTACACGTCTTGATCACCCAATATCCTTTTTATTCCTATGCGGAACAGAAACCGGCTCGGGCAGCGGGGGCGGAGTGCCCTTCTTCCTCTTCGCGGCGGCTAGCCAAGGATATTCGAGCCTTGTGGCAAGCGGCTTCAAACCCTGCAGGATCATTTCTGCCACCCCGCTGCTGTCCCCGTCCTCCCCCCGCTCCGCGACGCCGACCGCGAGCACGCGCCGCGTCCCGAGGACGAGGCCCATATCCGTGCCATCGCCGGGCATGACGACCAGTTGCGCGCCAGCCAGAAAGCACAGCACGGGGACGTGCTGCACCAGCAGGGCCGGCGTGACGTCCCTGGCCAGGAGCACGAGCGCGACGCTGCCGCGCTCCAGCGCGCGCGTGACTTCGTTGATGCCGACCAGCAGCCGCGCCGGCTTCTTGCACAGCTTGTGCGGGGGAGGTGCGGCTTCCGCCGGCACTGCTTGCGGCGGCAGAGAGGCTCGTGACGGGCGCGGCTCGCGCTGCGCAAACGGAACGGGCACGGCAGACAGCAGGACGCGCAGAACGGCGTCGCGCGTGCCCAGCGTGGCTGCCGGCATTACGGGCGCGAAGGGCGAGGCCAGAACTTGCTTGGACCGCCATACCTTCTTTTTTTGCTTGCCTTGGGTTAGGTTTTTGGCTTTCTTCTTCGACGACATGACGGTGGTGTGAAATGGTGGAGCACGAGGAGCACGCGGAGGACGATGGCCGTCAGCCGGCCTCCGGCGACCAGTTGTCCGGAATAGAGGAGAGGCGAAGCGGAAAGGATCAAACTATGATTTGGGAATGCGCCGTGACACTTGCATTTACTTGATTGGTTTGATAAATTCCTGCAGAGCTGTTCTGGATGACCACCGCCGGAGATTGCACAGTGTTGACCGTGTCCGCCTCGCTCCATCTCCCTCAGGCACCTCGCCCCGAAGCCGCGGACATTCGAACCTACCTGAGCCTTCTCATCCTATCCTAGGCTAATTTCGCTTTCGAAGCCAAGGACACGCGAACATGTCGACTCCAGCCTTTTCCGTGGCCGCGTCCGTCGCGCCGCGCTCCTCGTTCACGCCGAATCGCGCGCTGTGTTCGCGCCCGCGCCGCCAGCTCGCGGCGCGCCCTGCGCGTCGGGCGGCCGTGTCCATGGTTTCGGAGGTGAACATCGACAAGAAGAGGGAGAAGGTCGCCTTGGTCAAAGAGAGCCTGGAGAACTGCCAGATGCTCTTCGCGACGAATTTGAGCGGCCTGTCAGTGGCGCAGGTGTACGATCTCCGGCAACGCGTCCCCAAAACCACCAAGTGCATGACGGTGAAGAACACCCTCATGAGGCGTGCCATCGAGGATTCTGAATGGGCCTCCGCCCATGAATTTACGGTCGGCTCCAGCCTGTGGTTCTTTGTGCAGGACGACTTTAAGGGCTCTGTCGAAGCGTTCGAGAAGTTTGCAAAGGATCTCAAGAGAGACCCGATTATTGGCGGGGTCTACGATGGACAAAAGTGCGACGGAGAAGGTATCAAGGCCATTGCAGCGCTTCCGTCTAAGCAGGAGCTTATTCAGAAGATCGCCGTTGGTATCAGGATGGTTCCCACCAAGGTCGCACGCTCTGTCAAGGCCGTGCCTACCAAAGTTGCTGTCGCTATCAAGTTGGCTGTGGCGGATGAAAGCAAAGGGGATGAATCTGCAGCTGAGTAAACTTTAATTTTTTCTACGGCGGGGAATGCGCGATGGTAATGCCTCTGCTTTTTGCGTCTCGTCTTAACTTTTTCAAAAGCAATGTCCTACGGTAAAACCATCTTGTGTGCCCTATGTTCAACTTGCTGGCCTCATTCCATTCCCTTGGTAACTGAGTTAGCACACTGGCGACTCTTCAGGACACGATCGCTTAGAAGCTCTCATACTGCACCACGCACGATCGATCATCGACTGCTATTAGGAAAGAAGCATCCTCTGAAAATGCGCATTGTCTTACAAAATGGGACGAGTACCGATACTTGTCCTTTGGACAAACCTCGCAGAGAGGTTTAGATGGGATTGTTTTTAGATCGAAAACCGATACCATTCCCTGCATTGCACATGCGTGAAGAGTGAAAGGCGACTCAAAGAGTTAGATATTCCGCGGGGTGAGCGTAAGTATTGAAACCAGAAATGCGTCTGTCGACTTACCTTGTCATTTCCACAAGCCATGAGCCGACGCGAGCGATCCATCGCGAAGCGGATAAACCATACATGACAAACGCTGAGCACGTACTCCTCCAGCAGCGTGTAGTTGGAAGCCGGCGAGGAGAGAGACTCGCGATCGGCCGTCGGCTCCCACAGGAAGATGCGGTTATGCACGGATTTGCTCAGCAGCAGATCCCCGACCCACATAACGCAATCCACATAATGCTTGTGCACCTTCCTCGTGACAAAGTACGGAAACTGACATATTGGCACCTTGGTCTTCTTCCGCGTCCCCGTCTTGTCGCGGTACACATACGTGTCCTCCACGCCCAGATCCGCGGCCTCATGCGACTCCTTGATGGCGCGAATGACCTTGGCCTCATCGGCGTCCCATATTCTGACGCTGTTATCAATGCCGCAGCTAGCAAAGCGCTTCCCATCCCTGTCGAAGTCGACGTGCACGACCTCGCCTCGATGCCCCTTGAGCCCTGCAAAGACGGCCACCGTCGACCCCGTGCGCAAGTTCCACAGCCTCAACGACTCGTCCTTGGACGCCGTGATGAGGAGCGCCGGGTCGCGTGGGTGCACCTTGAGGTCGTTGATGGCCTCGCCGTGGCCCGCGAGCGACGTCTTCATGCTTGCCTTCTGCACGTTGAGGATTCGTACAACGCCCTTCTTCCCCGCCGCGCACGCCCACCACTCATGGTTGCCGTCCGCATTGTAGGTCCACGCGACGCAGTAAAACTCCTCCTTGGGGTCCTCGTCTTCGTACAGTTGCAGGAGGAGCGGCTTGAGCTTCTTCCTGGCCTCATACACCCTGACGCAGTTTGCGTTGCATGTGACGAAGAGATTGCGCCAGGTCCCCTCGGCGTTCGGCTTCTTCGTGGTGACGATGGAAATGTCGTCGTCGTCAATGTCCATTTCCTGGACGCCGTTGGCGGGTTGAGGTTTGTCCGCATCGTTCTCCAGGTCCTTGGCGATGGGGCACAGTGGCCCGCGACCCTCCCACACGCTCCCGCCGCCCTGCAGATGGTACTTGGAGGGTTTCAAACAGAACTGGACGCCGAATGTGGCGTGCTCGCTTCCCGGGTTCTCGACAACATGCGAGGCATAGCGGTAGCCTTTGGGGCTTTCGCCGGCACGTTGCGACGCGTTGCTTTTCTCCTGCGGCATGGAGGGAGGGGGGTACAGCGGCGCGGGGACGGGTCAGGGAAGGGAGCTTCGAAAAGCGTGGAGTTTTGCCAGTGTGCGGTACGTATGATGCTGGTGGGGTGGTGATGTAGAGGTTGGCAAGGGAGTATGGTGTTGAGCAGGGCGGTTGCTCACCGGATCAAAGGGGTGCGGGGGCGGGAAAGAGGAAGGGGCCGTTCCACGTGTTGTGATTGCGAAGAAAATGAAAACAAAATACGCTGCAGTAATGACAAAGCGCACTACAGTACTGTACCCAAGGGTACTGTACAACATTGCGCCAAAAGCTGTGGCCGAATCTTTTGTGGTCTGCAGTTTTGTGCTCGACGTTTTCGGAGAGCTTGCGGTGGGCGAGAAGAGCAAGGATACTAAATACTCTTAAGCAACGAAGGAATCATCTCTCCGCAGTTGACCAGTTACGGTGATTCAGTGAGGCACGTCTCAAGCCACAACAACATGTTTTTCATGTCGTTCAGTGCGGAGCATGCTTCGGTCCACAACAACATGTTCTTCTTGTCGTTCAGTGAGGAGCATGTTTCGGTCTCGGCTAGCCTGTCGGCACCGGTGTGACTGGTGCTGCCTGCGCGCCGTTTACTTGAGCGATTTGCTGCTTTGCAAGCCATGCGTCCTCGGGCAACCCGAGCGCGGCCATGATGCTCTTATTCTCCTTCTGCAGCACGACTTGGCCCTGCTCAACTGTGCCCCTGCCCTTCGGATCATGCATGGCGGCGCGCCGCTCAAAGTCGTTGATCGGCGAGAGGAACGGCTTGACTCCGCTGGCCTGCATCTTCTGCACAGTGGCGTGCATCTCCTCTTCCGAAACCGGAGTCTGCCTGCCCCTCTGCTCGGCCTCGGTGCGCAGGATGGTGAGCCACTCGGGGTCGAGCTCGATGGCAGACTCTGCCTCTGCCTCCGCCTCCCCGTCCGCACGCTGCCGTTTCTCGAAGCGGACGCCACGGCCCGGCGGGGGCGGGCCTTCCTCGACGGGGATGTCCAGGATCTGAATAAAGTCGCGTTTCGGGAGGGCCTTGTCCAGCGCGAGGAAGCGCGTGGTTTTCCCGCTGTCGTGGTGGACGAGGGCGGGAAACTTGACGTGGATGTGGGCGGCGAACCAGAAGCTCGGGGCGAGGGCGTCGAGGACTTTTCTCGACGCGGGGTTGCCAAACGAGCCGTCCGCGATCTCGCCCTTGAGGAACGGCTTTGCTCGCAGCAGCGCGGCAAGGTCGCCAAAGTCGGTAATACCGCGCGGCCAGTCGTGGCTCAGGAAGACATCGACCGGGGCGCGCAGGCGTAGCAAGCGGTCGACATCCTCCCGGCGCGCGTGGTACACGCTCTTGATCTGGCTGCGCGGGTACGGCGGGCTTTCGAAGCGGTGCTTGTGAAAGTTATGCTCGGTGTAAACGCCGCTGACGCCGGCGATGCGCAGGCCGCGGAAGTTGACGACGCCGGCGTTGCCCAGGAAGTAGATGTTCGGGGCGACGAGGCCGCCGAGCGGGATCTCCTGCAGGTGGGTGGAGGCCTCGTGGTTGCCGCCGACGAAGAGGGTGGGGAGCGGGGCGCGGGCGTCGCCCGCGTAGTAGCGCCAGAACGAGCGCATGTCGCGGAAGCGCGGCGGGCACGCCATGCTGGCGAGGTCGGCGGCGTTGCGCACGGCCTGGAAGTCGCCGGCGCACAGCAGGACGTCGGCGCGCACGCCGCGCGCGGCCTCGGCCTCGGCCAGCGCGGCGTAGATGGCGTCCAGCTCGCCGTGCGCGCAGCCCACGACCGCGACTTTCATCAAGCGCGGACGCGGCAGACGGCACGTCGCGCCGCGGAACGGAAGGCGGGAGACGCGGGAAGGGAGAGACGGGAGCGAGGACGGCGCGAGGAAGGCGGCGCGCAACAACATGTGGGCGCGCGGAGGGAGGGAGGCGGCTGGTGCGCGCGGTCGGGAGCCCGGGATGAGACCCGGATCCAACGTGGTGTCTCGGAAGGCGAATTGGGGGAGTTGCTGTATAGTACCGAAGGTACACTGTACTGTACAGAAAAGAGGCGAGCTCTAAAACGGGATCAAAGAATGCACGTGTGCGTCGTGTGGGTCGTGTGCCCGTGTGCCACGTGCGAGAACCGAAGGCGAGCGCGGCCGGCTCGAGCCGAAGAGATTCATCAAAGACAGCAAACAGACTGCCCCACTGGGGCAGGTGCGCCTGCGTCTATGAGGGAACCGTGTATGAGGTAAACGATTCGATAAGTTTAGGTTTAGGCATTGCTATGGCAAGTCCTCGCAGATATTAGGAATACTCTGGTCCGATATGCACCTATTCGACCCAGACTCACAGCGATATGGACAAGTCAACAAGTCAGGAGACTTGATCGACTTGCTCTCGACAATCCCCTGCAGTATTGCACGATCTGTAGCAACAGCAACCCTCAGAAGATGCTAACAAGGGTTATTCTTCTGCAAAGGACCAAGTTTCTACGTCGTCAAGAGAGCGCCTTATCCTGTTCATCTGCAGGGCGCGCACCCTGCACGGCATGCGCAGCACCCAGGGGCGCAGCACCGCGCCCTCGCTCAGGGCCGTTCCTAACGAAGAGCAGCACCCAGGGGCGCAGCACCGCGCCCTCGCTCAGGGAGGGGGGATTAGGGGATCAGCAGGGGCCGGGCACCCGCACGCGCCTGCGCGTCGCGACGCACGAGCGATGCTCTATCTCAGGGCCGTTCCTATCCTACCTAACGAAGAGTTGAGGTGCCACCACCCGAGCACCCGGACATTTGGCATGAATGGATTGGTTGAACGGGAGTAAAAGCATTTCCAATAATTTTTTCAACCAATACATTCATGTCTCACGCGATGCGTCCCGTCCTGAGGTCCTGAGCGACGGCCCTCCGCCGCGCTGCAAATCAATTGGCCTACACAGCGACACGTGTCCGCGTGTTCGTCGGCGGATGCGCGCCCGTCTCGCACGGTCCGCACATCCACATCGTCCGCACCGCCCTCCCCCGCCCTCTCTCCACGTCATCGCCATCGCCATCGCCATCGCCCATCCCCTCGCCCCGCCTTACAACGCCCTTGCACAAATCCCCGCATCGCCGCACGCCGCCCCACCCAAGAG